AGTTATTGACAAATTCCGAGACTTGTAACTCAAGACTTTTGTAACGCATGAGATAGGGTTATTGACAAATTCCGAGACTTGTAACTCAAGACTTATGTAACGCATGAGATAGAGTTATTGACAAATTCCGAGACTTGTAACTCAAGACTTTTGTAACGCATGAGATAGGGTTATTGACAAATTCCGAGACTTGTAACTCAAGACTTTTGTAACGCATGAGATAGGGTTATTGACAAATTCCGAGACTTGTAACTCAAGACTTTTGTAACATATGAGATAGTTATTGACAAATTCCGAGACTTGTAACTCAAGACTTATGTAAGCATGAGATAGGGTTATTGATTATAAAGCTTTGATAAGTTGGTAGTTTGAGAAGTAAGATATCGTCAATGAAACTATTTCGAGAGTCCAAGGGCACATTGAAAATAACTTAAGAACGTCATATTTGTACTTCTTACTTAAGTCAATAAAAACATTTTTAACCGACGTAAGATGTTTTTTTTTCTGTCTTATAGTCACATGATTAAAAACAGTAGTTAGCTGGTTGTCCCAGGTTTAACACTCTTACTGTTTTTTTAAATAGTCGTCCGGTGGGTCAGCGGTAAGTTTGCGTACTTAGAACGCAAAAATCCGGAGTTCGATTCTAAATGCAGATGGTCCATTGTGTAGCGTTGCCTTTAAATAGTAACAAATTAAGTTTAAAAAATATACTGTTTTATAATAATTAAAAGTAGTAGTAGTAATTTACTGTGCAACGAAAAAATAAACTAATAAAAAAATAATTTTAAAATTAAGCGCGAAACTAGTTGTTGCCACATTAACGTTACGTATATTTCGTTGTAATAAAATTCACACCAGCTTTAAGACAACGCAGTACTCAGATACGTATGGAATGCTAATAAATACCATTTCGATCAACGTCTGCGAAGAAAACGTGACTGTGATGATTGTTATTGTGCGACTTTCGTTAGGCTTAGTAGATAGTCAAACAGACAAATACCCAAAGGCGTCGTGGAGTTCTTCCTAACCCTAATATTATTGAAGCATAGATCCCGTGGAGACTTTAAAACACACGTCTAGATCATTAATGCTCCAAAACTTCGTCGGTTGCCGAATCTCTAATAACACGTGAGTCGCATAAAAATGTAATAAAAAATTGCAGCTAACTCCTAATTACTGAGCGGGTCCCTTATGTATCTTACCTAGGAAATTAGTGGTTTTACCCCATTTGTTGACGTCGTTGTTATTTTAGCGCGAGCCACACAATGAGCTATATGGGCCGAACCCCGGATTTAAGTGTCGTAAGTATATCAACTTATTGCTGACCATGCTATTGGTTTGGTCAGTTTTTTTTACACTCAGTATTGTAACGTGTTAAAACGTAAAACTACTCAGTCTGGTGCAGTGTTTGGATCCCAGCGGAAGTGGACGGTTTACAAACAAGTCATTTTTTTATTTGTTTTTAATAATTGGGTTAATGAAAACCATCTAAATAGATAGTCCTAGTCGAAGATGTAATTGTTTCCACGAGCCATAGACAACTACGTCAGCTTTGGTCGTCTACGGTCAACGATATTGTACCAAGACTTTTCATTGCGAGATAAAAATGTGAACAATTGGGTAATAAGGACCCTCTGGTGGATTACTGTGTGTTTATAATGATATATATTATTCATATTACGTTTAATTGTTTACACGACTCGCAAACTGCGGGTTCCAAACCCGTCACCGAACATACTTGCCCTTTCAGCCTTTCTAATGTGTCGGTCATTCCCATTGTTCGTTCTTAAAGAGTATTCCAAGAATTAGCGATTGATTATCGACGGCTATTAGAGAAAACAAACACAATGGCTATCCATGCTCTGTCAAGTAGTATGTTAAATATGCGTCAAATTCAAAACAAACACGACGTAAGGTTTGGAGCGCGATATTTTGCGTTAACAGGGCGCAAACCTTGGATCTACAGTCCGACATCGTAACCCTAGAGCCATGCTCGGTTCGATCTTACAAAGTTTCATGGTAAATCCAACTTGAAGGGCACCGTATACGATATTTGGAATAAATGGTTTCTCATAGACAACTCGGTTCAGGTATAACCATACCTAATTCAGACCAGAGGGGAGTAACCAGCCAGCAGCATCCGCCATTAATATGGCTACTCTTAACCAACTAGCAGGATTGGTTGTCATGGTCACAATACCTTCACGACCGAAAGTGCAGATGGTATTCAGTGACGACGCGCGTTAACCATGTACCTTCAGATACGCAGCCCAGAAATTAACCACTTTTGTAATTCAGTCTGCTAACAATACTAAAGAAGTGATAGTGAAAAACAAAACAAATTTAATCACACGTTTCATCACTATACGTTTTTTTTTCTGCGTCATCTATTTGTTACCAAGTTTCATTGATGCTGTCATGTGTTTTTTGTAACTGTTCACCTTTTCAATGACCCAAAAAAAAGTTTATTTCATTTTATTAGACTTAAATTGGTAAACCAGTCAGCTTTTCATCTTGTCATGTATTGTTTTTATATGCGACTTATGTATCAGCCAGAAATATTTGAAAGAAAAAACTGGTAAAAAAAACGTATGTCATGGACTGTGACGAAACCGATGTTACAAAAATGTTTTGATATCCTTGAGTCTTGGTGAGTCATGCTCGTGAAAGGAAAGTTACCAACACTGCGATTCAGTGTTCGTACCACTAGGTGTGGTAAACAATCTATGGTACGTGATTACAGCATTTACTTGGTAACAAGTTTAAGTCAGTTTTGTAATGATCTAAGAGCCAAAGTACTATCGCTGTGTAACCTACAAGTGTAACCTGTGTACTTCCGCAGGGTCCCCGAAAGTGTTCTGTTCCAAGAATAAATAAAACCAAAATTAACAGTACCAAATATCTTTATTTTTTACTTTGGAAGTTCGTATGTTATGTTGTAGTCTACAGAGGGCATAAATCTTTCTCGTGATTCGTGGCATGCGCACGTTTTACTGACGTCATGACAGTACAAATTGCAACGTTAAGCGTCCCTTATGTGACGTCATTTTAGTAGATATTGACCGACAGACAGATAACACACTACTGTTAAAACAGGTGACCTCTCCAGGTGGTCCCATTTCAGGGATATTAATTCTATTTATCAACAATGAACAAGGTGAAATATTACCGTTTTTTTAATTTTTCTAGAAATATCACGTATATTAAGAAAATCTCAAACTCTTAAAACATTTGCACATTTTGATAGAATTTTTGAGAGGCATTGGATGTAGGGGGAATTAA